TATAAAGAAAGTATAAGTAATCTTAGGTCCCTTCAGATGCTGGGAACCCCAAGCTGCGCAGCATTAAATGAGCTTCCAATCAGCACACCATGCAGACCCCGTCCATAGAAAGGGTTACCCCATTTTTATCATTTGAGTTACTATAGGATTTTCTTAAAAGAAGACAACTCTATTCAACATTTCTACTGTCAGACAAAAGGGATGTTTGCACGAGAACTTCTTGCTGCACATTTAGATAAAGGCAAAGCCAGGCAGGTGGTACAATCGCTAGTGCCAAGTGGAAGCTGCCTGCAGGCTGAGCTCATCCTGCGGTCAAGAGATTTGTGCAGCATGACATGGCCTAAAGGCCACACTGCACGTGCAGCACAGCACAGACCTGCGCCTGCTCAAGTGATATGTAGATCACTAACTCTCCTGTGTACTGTGCTCTCCTGGTCAGGATCACTACACCAGTGGTGAGTAGAGAGGAAGGATGACCTGCCTCAAACTGCTGGCAACAATCTTCCTTATGCAGCCCAGGATGCTGTTGGCTTTCTCTGCCACCAAGGCATGTTGCTGGCTTATGGTCATCCTGCTGTCCACCATGAACCCCAGAATGCTCTCTGCAAGTCTGCTTTCCAGCCAGTCCACCCACAGCGTTTATTGGTGCATGGAGTTTTCCTCCCCAGGCAGCCAAGACTGCTCCCAACCTTCACATTCCTGATCAATCCTTCCTCTTTTGTACATATGGTCTAGCAGAGTGCCTCTCCGTGTTTTCTCCTCAATCGCCTATGTTAGGAAATTGTCATTGATGCATTCCAGAGACCGCCTGGATTGCTTATGCCCTGCTGTGTTGTCCCTCCAGAAGCTATCAGCGTGGTAAAAGTCCCCCATGAAGACCAGAGACTGTGAACATGGGGCTTCTTCCACTTGTCTGAAGAAGGCCTCATATACTCCTTCTGCTTGATCAGGCAGTCTGTAGCAGACACCCACAACAATGTCACCCATGTTGGTCTGCCCACTAGTCCTGGCCCATAAGCTCTTGGCTGGCTCATCACCCTTTCCTAGACAGAGCTCCATGCATCCCCATGGCGCTCTCATATAAAGGGTACCTCTTCCTCACCTTCCTGGCCTCTCCTTCCTAAAGAGCCTGGGTCATTCTTTTGCAGCATTTCAGTTGTGTGAGCTATCCCATGTCTCTGTGATACCAGTGAGAGTGTAGACCAGTAACTGTACACAGACTTCTAATTCCTCCTGCTGTGCCCTGTGGTGCGTGTATTGGTGTACTGGCACATCAGAGAGGCACCCTGGCATGCTGGTTTCCCAGGAAAGGTATGGGAGCTTTCCACATAATGCTGTTCCACAGACACTTCCTTATTTATGTGCGTATGCTTGAGGTGATCCCACCTCAGCCCTGTTTTGTTGGTTACAAGGTCCCTTCTGTTCACATGATCCCAGACTCTTTGCTTGCTAACCCCATCCACCACTTCTTCACTTGATTGCTGGTCACCCTTTCCCTCCTTCATTGTTCTTACTTTAAAGCTCTTCTTATCAGGTTGGACAGTCTGTTGGCAAAGATACTTTTTCCCCACTTGGTCACATGGATCTTGTCCCTTCCAAGCTATCATTGATCTTCAGAGAGGGCCCCATGGTCACAGAAGCCAAAACCTTGTTGCCAACACCAGTTGTACAAACAGTTGCTGACCTACAGGATCCATCTACTCCTCCTCAAGCCCTTCCATCTGATTCCTTACTGGTGGGATCAAGGAGAACACCACCTGGTCCCCCATGCCCTTGATCATTGCCTCCTAAGTCATGTGGTCACACTTGATATGCTTTAGGTCTCCCTCAGCAGTATCATTGGTGCTCACTTGGAAGAGCTGGGGGAGGGTGTAATAGTCTGAGGTCTGGACAAGCCTTGGCAGCCTCTTTACAATGAGCAGCGTCTTAGTTCCTCCTGGGGAACTCGTATTGCTTCTTGAATGTTGTTACTTCTCAGTCCTTTGGGTTATTTAAGTTCATGTGAAGAGTAGTCTTTGTGTTCTCCAGTCAAAGAAATAATTGTTCAAGTTCACAGGAAACCTGCTTCTGGAAACAATGTCCTATTATATTTGTGCTCTCTCTCTGATATTCCACACTCAAGACCCTTGTATGGGACTCTGGTAATATAATATCAACATTATGCTGACCTGGGATGTGTTTGTCTGCAGGTACTATTATGTGTGTACACATTGTATTTGTCAACAGAGACTGGTGGCAGTGTACAAAATTTCTTGCTTTTCATGTTCTAAGTGCTGTACTATGTAGAATGCTGTCACACACATATTAAGTATTTGCACATTAGGCAGAGCCATGTTAATCCACATTGTAGGTTGAATAAAGACATCACTTGCTTCCATACGATGTTTTTAGTCAAAATGTAGCAGTTCTGACAAAGGGCCTGGCTTACCTTTGTTTAGCTCTGGTGACTTCATCACCTCAAGAAGATTAGTAGTAACAGGAAAGATACCGTGAACTTTGACTGGTAATTATAATGTGGAAAAACCTGTGTGAGTGTTTCCCAGCTCTGCTCTACAGTAGTTTCCAAGAATACTGTTTACGGTAATTTCTCACGCACACACAGTCCACACAGCCTGTAGGCCTACGATCATCATCAGCTCTAGTCTCGTGATCCTCTTTTCCTCCATCTGAGTTTTGACATCTTTCCCTGTTCCAAAGTGCGTTGCAAGAGGAAGACCAAAAGAGGAAAACTCCAAAAAGCCAACCCCATAAAGAAAAAATCTGTAAGAAAAGGATAAAAAGAAGCAGATGGAAAAGTCTGAGACACCAAGTGGAAAGAGAAAGATGGCAGCAACTGTACTAGGGCCTGGCTGAAAGTTGTCCACCACTCTTGCTATTTTCTGTCCACTGCTAGATTGCAGTGGTATGTGCAGTCTTAGGAGTGTACAGAAAAAGCACATAAGCTTATGCTTGAGATTTGTTCTTGCAGGTTGTCTTCAATTTCTCTGTTTTCAAGTGTTATAGCTGGTTGGTTTATTTGCTCTTTACCAGCCTGAATTTTTCGCAACTACAGTCTTATAAAAATATACACGTGGCCCATATTATTAACAATAATAAAAGAGCTTGATCTATGCTTTCTGCCTCATTTTACCTTAATAAGCAAAGTTATTTACAAAAGGACCTGCCACTAAGAAACATTAGAGCATCATTTTTGGAAAGTTAAAGCATTCACTATTCTCTCGCCTTCTCTCTCTTCTCTCCTGTCCCCGTCCACCCCCTTTTTAAAAATCCAATGCAGTGTCGAGGACCAGGACTCTGAGCTGGAATACAAGGCCTCCTATGACTCCTTTAATCATCATATCTGTGTTCACAGTATTGCAAGTGGTCTCTTAAGTCCTGTAATTTAAGAACTGGTCAAGCTCTGTATCAAAAATAGCTCCTTTGCCCCCAACTCCTGGAAGGCTGTTCCAGAACTTCATAGTTCTGATCGTTAGAAACTTCTCCCGGATTTTCAGCCCACATCCTTCCTTGGGGAGTATAAATAAACAGACCATATGTTCCTCTGCCAACATTGTCTTTTAGCTTAGAAGTTCCTCCTCTTTTGTATTTTCCCTCCTGGGAAAATAAAGAAGAAATCACATCTCCTTTTCAACTTCATTTTGTTAGGTTAAGTAAAGTAAGCATATTTTTTTTAGTTTATTTTCATGTGATCTCCTTCCCAGATCATCCTACTTGTGTTTGCTGTGCATCTGTTACAGTTATAACTCATCCTCTTCAAACACTGGGATTAGATTCATACCCAGTATTGCAAAGGAAGACTTACCAATACCTGGTGCAAAGTAATTTGTATTTTACTATTTGCTGGAAATACCTTTCCGGATGCATTCTAGGATTTTCTTAACTGCTTTCATAGACTTGTCCTACTGATGTCTAGTAATCATCCTGTAATCAAGCAGTATATGGAGTCCTCATCTTCATTCTTTTCCAGTCTATGAACACACAGTAGAGAGGAGAAATTCTTATTGATCTCTAACTATACACTCTTATACTTTATACTACAGAATTTAATCTCATTTCTATAATTCCAGTCCACCAGTTCACCCAATTTTTTGATTCATTTCCCAATCTTTCTGAAGAAGCCTGTTTAATGAAATAATGATATGGCTCTTCATTATCACAGCCAAATAAGCAGTCCTTCTAGAAGTGACAGTTTCTGGTTTCAACTCCAGATATTTTTGGCAATGAGAAAAGAATAAACCAAACCACAAAGCAACCAGATCCCCTTGCCCTATTCACCTAAAGAAACAAAGTCCTAGGCCGCAGGGAGTGCCTGCGGCTTCTCTGAGGCTGGAAAAGATGGCCTTCTGTCCTGCAGGAGGTGTTGCTGTTGTTGAAGAGCTGTGTCACCAAGTGGAGGAGTGATGGGAGGAAATCAGCTGGCTGTGCAGCATCAGAGAGGATGAGAGAAAGAGAGATAGTCAGGGGCATGGGGGTGATAGTCAGAGGCATGGGAACCCAGGTGGTGTTCTCTTCAGTCCTGTTGGAGAGGGGAAGAGGAGGGGACTGTGTGTCAACAATCGGTTGCAGAGCTGGTGTCAGCGACAAGATTTTGATTTGAACCATGGGACCCTGTTTGAGGATCAACATCTACTTGGGAGAGATGGGATCCACCTCACTAAGTGGGACAAAGGCATCTTTGCCAGCAGGATGGCTGACCTGATAAAAAGGTCTTAAATTAGGAATTGTGTGGGAGGGAGAGTTAACAGCAGCCCTGTGAGAGAGTGATGGACAGGGCTGACAAGCGAAGGGACTGGGGTGATGTGTACAAAAGGGAAGACAAAATCAACAAATCAAGGCTTAAGTGGGGTCATCTCAAGCATCTGCATGTAAGCAAGGAAGTTCTCACAAGGCACTACTGGGGGGGAGGCGGGGAACAGACCCTTTCTGGGAAAAGAGCATGCCTCTTTGAAGTGCCCGTGCACCAATCACACAGCGTGGGGAATAAACATGATGAGTTAGAGATGTGTGTGCAGTTCCAGGCCTGTGACCCCACTGGGATCACGGAGAAGTGGTGGGATGGTTCCCATGACTGGAGTGTTGCAATGGAGGGATACAGACTCTTTAGGAAGGACGGGCTGGGAAGACCAGGAGTTGCCCTTTATGTGAGAAAACAGCTGGAGTGCCTGGAGCTCTTCCTGGGGATGGATGAGCGGCCAACTGAGACCTTATGGGTGAGGATTAAAGAGAGGACAGGTAAGGGTGACATTGTAGTGGGCATCTGCTATAGAGCACCTGACCAGTAAGAACAAGTGGATAAGGCCCTCTGTAGAGAGATAGGAGCAGCTTCATGTTCCCAGGCACTGGTCCTCATGGAGGACTTCAACCACCCCAGTATTTGCTGAAGGGATAACACACCAGGACATAAGCAGGAGGTTCCTGGAGAGTACCGATGACAACTACCAACCCCAAGTGGTAGAGGAACCAATGAGGAGAGATGTTCTGCTGGACCACATACTCACGAAAAAGGAAGGGCTTGTTGGGGATGTGGAGATTGAAGGCAGTCTTGGCAGCAGGTGAATTCATTAAGATTAAGTCTCATCTGGAAGGAATTAGATTCACCCTCCATGAGACTGTCCCATGACATGACTCGAAGTACAGTAAATGGGTATGATCAGGAGATGAGCTTCAAAAGCGCAGTTCTGACCCAAACTAAGGAAGCACACGGTGACTTTCCCAGGGCTTTGAGTAAAGCCAGAATTTCTCATCATAGTCATGATCCCTGCATTACTGCACCAGGTATCTGCGTGAGGGAGCCTTTGCAGGTCTGCAACTAGGATGCAGTGTGCAGATACATTTTCAGTGTGCAAATAAGTCATGGCTTTAGCAGACAGCAAAAGCATCTTTAAAAATCAAGGTTAAAATGAGTAAGGCAGTTACTCTGCAGGTTTATGGGGCTAAGACAAATGATATTGATATACCTTTTGATGATAACAACACACAGAAATGGCTAGTGAATATGCTTAGGCTAGAAGTGTGGTAGAACCACACACCCCAGTGTTATTTAACATACCAGCAGGCAGACCTGACTGGGGGAACTTTGCTGCTGTCTTAACACTCAGCTGAAATTAGATATGCATTTTCCTCTCTTGTCTTGCAGGAGGAACCTCTATCCTTCTGGTTGTGAAGGCTCAACAGGGAAACTGCCAGTTTCTTGCAATCTAGCTTCACAGTGTAAAAACTTGTATTCCCTGCTTATAAATGTGCAAAGCCTTTTCTCCTGAGAATATGGTCAGCATTATACAGATTTTAAACAAAAATGTATCAGTTCTGATAATATTTTCACTGGGGACTTTAAAGTTACAGAAAACTGTAGAAGTAATGCAGCATGTTTATCTTAAGGGCCAAGAACAGCTGATGGGATTTTATTTGGTCTGAATGGGATGTTAAGAGGTAGTCGGCAAATGAAACTACATGTGGATATTCATTTTCTCTCTCTCTTAGAGATTGTGATCAGGAAGTTTTTATTATTTTGGGTTTTTAAAATTCTTTATCTGCAAACCCTTGCATGCTGTCTTCAGGCAGAAACCTGTGTATTTCAGACATTTGCAGCACGAGACGGTCTTAATGTAGATTTGAAGCTAGAGAAGGTATTACTAATTTTAGATTTCTGTCCAGGCATTCAGCTGTGCATAGCTCTAGTCTAAATCTTCTTGTGTTGGAAGTAAAAAGTTCTGAGCCTGCAATTTCAAGTTTGTAATGACGACTCCTGTATCTTCTCTGATGTGATGTAAGAAAAAACATTTTTACCATGAGAGTGGTTCAATGTTGGCAAAGCTCCAAGAGGCAGTGAAATCTCCATCCATGGAGAGTTTCAAACTAGTTAAGTTTTGAGAAACCTCATCTAAGTTTGAAGTTATGGCCTAGGGAATTGACCTAGATGACCTCAAGAAGTCCCTTCCTACCTTAATTCCCACAGAAGTACTAAGTGATTTTGTTGTATAGCTGCTGCCTCTTTCTCAGGCCTCTCCCTTGACAGTGTTGTGATCTGCCCCGTAGGGTGTCCTCTTACAGGAAGGAAAGGTACCACCCTGCTTACTTTCTTCATTTGAAAAAGCATAATTTAAATCAAACCACTGTGATGTATGGAGTGATGGTGTGGTTACTGTGATAGCTGGGAAACCAAGGATTTAGGTACCAAACAATGACATCTACATCTGTGTTCGCAGTGGATGGTAGTCACCCAGAGCCGTTAACAGCCTAAACAGAGCCTGAAGATATTTCTAGACCACAATTTGGGCAGCTTTTGCATGTTTTCAGTGTACAGTTGTGAGACAGTCTGATGGCTGAACAAGTGAGGGCAGGAGCTGGTGCAGGCTTTAAGTTGGAGGATGGTCTAATACAATTCTTCACTGGTGCTGCCTGAGAGAGGAAACTGGGCCCTGTGAACCCATTTTTTGTCTTAGACTTTCCAGATGGAGGCTGCTACTGGATGACAAAGCAGCTCTGCCATATGCAATACCATTCTTTATGAGAGGCAGCACAACAGAGTTAAAACTAAAGTGACCTAAAAAACTGAAATGGAAAAAAGTAAAAGGTGCCTCCATGCCTCCTGGTGAATTTCTCTTCCTTAGCCAGTTATGAGTTCTCACTGCACAAGTGTTCATGAAGCTTGCTTGTGCACCTGCCTAGGTTGGTGCTTGCGCTGGAGGTGCTCTTCACCCCCCCGACCAGACGGACTCAGCCCACCCATCCCTGGCTGCAGGGCAGTGTTGTGACAGCCAGCTCCAGGCTTCCTCCAGTGGGGCAAAGGTAATAAGGCCGGCCAGCAGCTTACGTTTAATAGTCTAAACCACGCACAGAAATCGCAGCCCCAGGAACCTTGCTTTTGGGTCCGGGGAGCCGGACTTCCCCCCAGAAGATGTGGTTCCCGTACCTGTTGTGCCACCCCGAGGCCGGGACAGGCACCGCGCTCTGCTCGGGCTCTCCAGCAACCCTTCAAGGGAAAAAAAAAGACCTGTTAAAGAGCTCACCAGCCAACCTTTTCATTTAAGAGATTTTCTTTTCTCCCTAGCTGTTTGTGCTCCTGTTTAATCACTTTAAACCACCCTGGGACTGCTCTGCCTCGGCTGCTGCTTATCTTCAGATTTCTGAGGGATCATCTGAGTATTAGAAGTGCTCAGCATTGAACTGCTTTTTTATCCCTGCGGTTTAGTGCACCTGGCTGAACTTGCTGACAAACCTCCTTACTTCCAGCACTATGGCTTGCTGTAGATACTGAAGAGATACGCTTGCTCCAGAAATTCTAGAACTGGAGCCATCCAGAAAGATGAACTTCAGAATTTATTGATCGCAGGGTTGCTTTTGTTGTTTTCTTTTTCCATGCAGAAGTGCCTTTTTTTTCTTTTTGCAATTTTCGATGAAGTTTGGGGGGGGGGGGGGGGGGGGGGGTGTTAAACTTTTCCAAATGCCACTTGGACAATTTTAAAATAAAGTGTTGTGGTTTTTTTTTTTCTTCCCTCCCCTTAAACAACACTTTAGATGAGAAAATAAGCCTACTACCACATAAAAATTAAATTATCCAAGTGATATCCCTGTGGTTCAGGAATCATTGCTACAGCTTTGAAATCAATGTCTGTCTGTCTGTCTGTGTGGGATTTCACCTAGTCTTTCCCCTCTGGAACAAGGTCATCCCAAAGCCTTAGGCCTTTTCAGGTTGAGAAATGCAACTCCCACTCTTTTCTTTTGTAAGTACTTTTTGAATACTGTACAGGAAAGCTACATAATTCATCAGAAAAGAGTTCTGGTTTACAAATAGTTGAGTTGTATCTTCTCCCCCCCCCCCCCAG